AGGAGAATCGCCCCCCTCGTTTTACTGCCCGCGCTCAGAGAATGCGGCGCTGCCTATAAAAGCCCTTTTTTGCCCTTAATCCCCACCAATGTCAACAGTACTTTGTTTTTGTTTTTGTTTTCTTTTTGATCTCAACTGCTGCTGGTACACCTTACCCTATTTATTGCTGCTCCCTGCTAACACTCTCTCTTTTTGCTTTCTCTTTCTCTCTTTCCTCTATTCTCATTCTATTTGACTTGACTCTGCCGCTGTCGCTTACACACTTCAGGCCGCATTTCTCTCCTCACTTCTCATCTCATCTCGACTGAATACTCATCTTCTCAAAAGGCAGCCCAAACCACCCATGTTGCAAGACCGCCGCCCATCATTCACCCGCCACAACTCGCAGGACATGCGCTCATCCAGCACTCCCGGAGGTGTGGAGCATGCTGTGCGCGTCGAACTCGACGATATGATCAGCCAGATGCCTGTCGGCCCCGAGAAGGACAAGTTCTGCAAGGAGATGGACGACTTTTACCGCCTGTTCACGCGCTATCTTCACGAGAAGAAGCATAGTAAGCCACTGTAAGTACCACTGGCCCGCGCTAGATTTCCAGAATACCAGATTGCTTGCGTGCGGATTGGCTTGTTTGTCAAGCGCTGGCTCTTATTTTCGGCTCACTTTGTAATTTTTTAGGCCTTGCAAGCATGTCGCTGTCGATCCCTAACCAAAGGGTATTTTCGCATCCATCGCTTGTTGACGCTTTCTTTCGTGCCACTAACAATGTTACCCTTTCATATTACCCCCAACTTGTGTAGCGACTGGGAGAAGGTCCGTGGTCCCAAGCCCGAAGACGTCATCGCATACAAGGATCTCGAGCAGAAGGATCTCAAGGGCGTCGCCCCACTTCTCAGCAAGTTGGCTGTCCTTAAGCTCAACGGTGGGCTCGGCACCACCATGGGGTGTGTTGGCCCCAAGAGTGCCATCGAGGTGCGCGACGGCCAGACCTTCCTTGACCTCACTGTCCAGCAGATCGAATACCTGAACCAGGTTTCGGGCGCTGATGTGCCGCTGATTCTGATGAACTCTTTCAACACCGACGAGGACACCAGCAAGATCGTGCAAAAGTACAATAACCATAACGTGAGCATCTGCACCTTCAACCAGAGCCGCTATCCGCGCTTCAAAACCGACTCAAACTTGCCGCTGGCGCGCACGCCCGACAACAAGCCTGGCTTCTGGTATCCCCCAGGTCACGGCGATCTGTATGAGTCGTTTGCCAACTCGGGCCTTCTGGACCAGCTCCTTGCCGAAGGCAAGGAATGGGTGTTTGTGTCAAACGTCGACAACCTGGGTGCCACTGTCGACCCCGCCATCCTCCAGCACATGTCCGACACGGGCGCTGAGTTTGTCATGGAGGTCACTGACAAGACCAAGGCCGATATCAAGGGTGGAACCATCATCGACTATGATGGCCAAATCCGTCTTTTGGAGATTGCCCAGGTGCCCAAGGCCCATGTCGACGACTTTAAGCGCGTCAAGAAGTTTAAGATCTTCAACACCAACAACCTGTGGATCAGCCTCAAGGCCATCAAGCGCCTGGTCGGCACGCAGCGGTTTGATCTCGATCTGATTCTCAACCACAAGACCACTGACGACGGGACTGCCATCATCCAGCTGGAGACCGCCGTCGGCGCCGCCATCAAGCACTTTTCGGGGGCCCACGGTGTCAATGTGCCTCGCTCACGCTTCCTGCCCGTCAAGTCGACCTCGGACCTGTTCCTGGTCACTTCAGACCTGTATCTACTCGAGAACGGCCAGCTGTGCATGAACCCCAAGCGTACTTTCAAGACAGTGCCTGTGGTCAAGCTGGGTGACCACTTCAAAAAGGTCAACGACTACCTCGCTCGCTTTAAGACCCCACCACAGATCCTTGAGCTCGACCACCTCACGGTCACCGGCGACGTATGCTTCAGCTCCGACGTCACCCTGGAGGGCACGGTTATTATCGTTGCCAATTACGGCGCCCACATCGATATCCCTCGCGGCGCAATTCTCAACGACAAGGTTGTCTCTGGAGATTTGCGCCTTCTTGACCATTAGTGTCGCGTTGGGCACGGGCAGCGGGGCAGGCAGATACAACGAGGGCTTTGTGTTTCGACCCGATCCTATATATTTCTAGTTTTTCCTCCTTTGATATACAAAACATCACTCACCCCCACCTCCACCTTGCAAATAAACAGGTAGAGCAAAGCAAAGCAAAACAAAACAAAGCGCATGTCGCTCATGAATATAGATACCATCTGTGTCAAGCGGCAATAGGAAACTAAAAAATAATGGTGGTGGTATTACAAGCTTAAAGAAAAAAGGGAATTTGTTCTAGCACAGCTCATAAATCTCCTCCATGAATCTTCCATACTTGTCGGGATCCTGGCGCGCAGTCTCGATCAGCAGCAGCAGCTTCTTGATGCCAATGCTGAATGGCCGGCCGTCAAAGTGGCTCTCCAGGCTTGCAAACAGACGGTCGTGCTCTTTCTGGTCGTCAAACAGACAGACGTGTCGGACGACACTCTGCATCGCATCCAGCGTGCAAATATTGCTGACAAAAGTTTCGCTGGAGAAAGTCGACGCCATGTCCATCTGGGTCAACACATCGCGCTCGCTGCTTGTCCCGATAATCAGCAGGCGGCGGCCCTTAGGCGGCTGCTTCTTGATCAAAACCAGCAGGGTCTGCAGCACGCCGTTCGAGAACCGCGGGCCAATCGGGACCCACTCCAGGAGGCGTTCAATATCGTCGATGACAATCAAACTCAGAGGTGACTTGTACGAGTCGTTGAATATCTTTGTGATCTGAGAGATGCGCTGGCTTTCCGATGCGCCGATCATGTTCTCGGGAGACACAAGCCTTACGAACGGATACCCGCTGCGCTGGGCAATGGTCGCGGCCAGCGCTGTTTTGCCGCTTCCTGATGGCCCGTGCAACAAAATACTGACAAGCGGCGAGCGGCTGCTTTGGTGGACTTGTTCGACAAACAGATGCGCCTTCTGCAGCAGCTCCCCGACGCTAGGTGCGAATTCAATGATGCCACTGGCAGCGCACTGCTCAAACTCCTCAGAGGCCACGCCAAATGCCGGCTTGAACTCATCCAGCGCGTTGAAAAAGTCCTCGCGCCGGATCTTCATGTCGGAAATGTCCTGCGTGAGCTCTGCCATGCTCCCCACTTTAATGTGGCGGCTGAACGCAAACGACGAGGCCGACTTAACCACGCCGGCAAGCTCGGCACCGCTAAAGTTTTTGGTCAGCGCCGCCAGTTCAGCAAGGTCCACGTCGTCGGCGAGAATGTTGTTCTCGCGGATCTTGGCAGTGTGTATCTTTATAATTTGCAGGCGGCCTGACTCATCGGGCAGACCGACCTCGATGTGGATCTCCAGGCGGCCTGGGCGCAGCAGCGCATCATCAATAAGTTCTTTTCTGTTCGTCATGCCGATGATAAGGATATTGTTGAGCTGATCAACACCGTCCATCTTGGCCAGTAGCTGGTTGACCACAGTGTCACCCGTGCCTGTACCGTCGTTCTTGGATCCGCGCTGCTTGCAAATGGCGTCGAGCTCGTCAAAAATGACAATGTGCAGCTGACTCTCGTCACCCTTCTCACGGTATTCCTTCTCAGCGGGCTCAAAGAGCTTGCGCACATTCTCCTCGGACTGGCCAACAAATTTGTTGAGAATCTCAGGGCCCGACACGATGATAGGGTCGACTGAGTTGAGCATCTTGCCGATCTGCCTGGCCATCAGTGTCTTTCCCGTGCCCGGCGGCCCGTACAAAAGAATTCCCTTGGCGTGCTGAATTCCGAGCTTGTCCACCAGGTCAGGGGGAAAGATGCGGGATGCAAACGCGCGCCTAAAGATGGTGCTGAATTCTTTGTCAAGGCCGCCGATTCCCAGGTCCTCAAAGTTGAAGTCGGGCTGGATGATCTTGTTGGCCTTGCGGCTGACCGCAGAACCTTTGAGGTTGATGAGCGAGCCCTGGCCCTTGGTCACAGAAATCGTCGTAATGGCCGATAGAACGCCATAAAGCGCAGAGTCCGCAATAAGGGGATCACCGGCGCTGCCGCCCGGCTTAATGTCGCGCAACACATCCAGAGGCACGGCGGCCATCCCAGTCACCACGCCCTTCAGATTGTTTCCGCGAAAGTCAAAGACAAACGGCTGGCCGCGGGTAAAGAGCTGCTTCTCAAAGTTGTTTTTAAGCAGCTCGGCGACCTCGTCGGCATCGACTATCAGCGCCGACTCCTGGCTGGGGGTCAGAAATGAGACCTCTACGTCCATGCGGCTGAGAAAGACGTTTGAATTCGAGTCCACAACTGAATCGCCCATGGCCTCGACAACAACCTCCTGGTTGATCGAAAACTGGCCCCACTCTCTCTGGATTTTGGTGGGCCCGATTTTGCCCGAGGGCAAACCCGGAATTGGCAGAATGTTGAAGATGTACTGCTCGTTGACCCGGACAAAGCGGACGCTCTTTTCAAAGTCGCTGCTGCTGACAGCCAGGTAGTTTGTGTACGTCAGGGTGCTGTCTGGGCACTTCACAGCTTGCATGCGCCGAACATCTCCAGCGCGCAGGTAATTCGCGCGCTGGGCGCCGCCGTAATTGGGCGGGGGCACTGACTGCTGGCGGGCGTGGGGGTCTATCTCGCCGCCGGAATATATGCGTTCGTAATTGTGGGGGTGTCTACTCATTGTATGGTAATTAGTGTCAATTGTAAAGCGTAAAAAATATTGAACTATAAATGTACCTTGTGCAAACAAAAGTAGAGCCAGACAAAGCCCACAAAGTTGCGCCTGAGGCTCATCACTCGCATTCTTGTATGTGGAATATTGAGATTGGATTAAAAGGTTGAAATTAAATATGACGTACGTACACTTTTGGCATGAGTGCGCGACAATCTGAATCTGGCTGCGATTTGACAGGTCTATTTTCTCTCCCAATCTGGCTGCGATTTGAGCACATTGGGTGCAGCTTTCCTTTATCGTTCCCTCTTATTTTTCTTCATTTCTAAATAATATTTTTAAAAGCTGTGTCCGTTTGGACATTAATATTGCCTTTTTCTTGTAATCCACATCCTTATAATATCTCGTGACAGTCTACCCGCGCAACTAACAGCAAAATTATCGATGAAGTGTGTTCGTGTTGTCGACCCCGCCGACTTTGATAATATAGTCAATGCTGCTGTTGATGAATCCAGCGCTGTGTTTGTACTGTTTTTTGGTCGCGAGAGCCCAGACACCAATCTTTCATGGTGCCCCGATTGCGTCATTGCGGATCCCGAAGTGCGCAGGGCTGTCAGCAGTGTCGAAAATTCGATTTTGCTAGAGGTTCCTATTGATCGCAAGTCCGACATTCAGAGTCCGTTCAATGTTTTCCGCGATCGAGCCGATACCAAAGTTGAAAGGATTCCGATGCTGCTGCGCTGGACTGCCGGTGGTCCCTCTGCCACACGACTCGTAGAGGACGACTGCACAGTGAATAGGATCAAAGAGTACATCAAGAGCACAGGCCAACAGTAGACAGCCACATACTAGGTTTCATTTGTAAACCTAATTCAAAAATTCAAAAATTCAAATTGGTTAGCCCACCCTGTCATTCGTAACCAAAAATGTCACCCCGCATATTTTCTGGGTTATTGGTTATTGCCAATGCTCAGGGTGCAATCACATTCTTTCATTACATCAATCGATTAATAGATTGGTCGGCAAAATTCACCATACCAATACAAGAGAAATATGGATATTTTGGCACGGAAATAAATATGAATAATTTAGCGACAGGTTAATCGCAAAAATTGTAGGTTTCTGCCCGAGCTCTAAAATTTTGCGCTTCACACGAGTAAGCGACCATGGAGCACACGTAGCTCTGCAATTGTGTACGGGAGAGTGTGCCTAGTAGCTATAATTTTTGACAAATAATACCAAGGGGGAATCTGAGTAGATCACAGCGTGTCAGTTATGTGGTAAAGTTCATCTTTTCTAGGTGTGAAATCTTGCAAAAACATAAAATAGTTGGCAGTAGATTGGTTTCAAATTTGCTGCCATTTGTTTTTCTGGAGTGCGGAGAGGAATAAAATAGGTACCTTATTTGCATCTCCCAGGCGGGGTAATACTCAGGAACATTAAAAATAATGTCTACAAAAAGCTTGAATGCGTCTGGCTGGTTACTACCCATGTTTCACTCCTCAAATAGCAAACAATTCTATTATTTGGGTGTCTCAAATATAGTGTTTGTCGCAAAATTGCGCACTGCGGCCATTCCCATTCCTTGAACACCACTTACACAATCCCCGCACGCGCGTACTAGCAATAATCGCTGCAAAATAAAGTGATAGAGCCAGCATTCTTAATATTAGACATCCACATTCAAAACCGAGTGACACATTGTGAGAGAAATCTGCATGAAAACGAGGGGAAAACGTTCCTATGCATAGCCTGTGTGTTGGAATATTGAATTCGTGTGCTCAATTCGATCTCTTGCGAGCAGTAGCCGCCAAATATCTCGCGGGTCTAATCTTATGAAGGGAGTTTTCTGCGCGTTATTGACTTTCCAATTATAATATCAGTGACTAGAAAACAAGTCAATTCAACGTGCATAATTTTGTTTAAATAGTCCGGCGGCCGTGGCCAAAATTACCAAATACAAATATTATCATCATCCCCATCATCTTCATTAGCTTTATAGTTAATACTCAAAAATACTTCAAAGTTATTCTTCATCTGCGCGCTCAACTCAAAAAATTTTAAAAGTAATATTTACATTTTTTAGCTTTAAAAAACGCCAACTTTCATCACCCACTAAAAGACATTACCACTCAATCCAGGCTCACTAAAGAATGAAGGTCACTTTCGGTATTCTCGTCGCTTTTGTCGCTGCCGCTTCGGCCGCTCCTGCTGATGCCCAGCCGGCCCTTATCCCCACTGTCTATGACTCGGGCTTCTATGGTGCTGCTCTCGGTCTCTCGGCTGCCCCGGCTCCCGCGCCTGCACCTGCCCCTGCTGGCTATGATGCTGGATCCAGCTACAATGATAGCGTGCCTGTTCCCGCCCCTGCTGCATACGGCGCCCCCGCTCCTGACAACTACTCGGGTCCGGCTCCTGCTTCCTATGGCGCACCCGCCCCTGCATCCTACGGCGCACCCGCTCCTGACAACTACTCGGGTCCGGCTCCTGCTTCTTATGGCGCACCCGCCCATGCTTCCTACGGCGCACCCGCCCCTGCTTCCTACGGCGCACCCGCCCCTGCTTCCTATGGCGCACCCGCCCCTGCTTCCTACGGCGCACCCGCCCCTGCTTCCTACGGCGCACCCGCCCCTGCTTCCTACGGCGCACCCGCCCCTGCTTCCTACGGCGCACCCGCCCCTGCTTCCTATGGCGCACCCGCCCATGCTTCCTATGGTGCACCCGCCCATGCTTCCTACGGCGCACCCGCCCCTGGTGCCTATGACGCTGGTTCATATGGTCCTGGTGCACCCGCGGCCTATGGTGCCAGCTCCAGCAGCGCTGGTGGCTATGAGTCTGCTACCTATACCTCGCAGGCTGCATACCCATATGGAAACGTTGCACCCACCCAGGAGTATGCCTCTGCTACCTCGGCACCAGCATACACCATCACCATG